CAACAAAGTTGCAAACCGAGAACGCGTTTGCAACAATGTGCAATTTTCGGGAGCGGCTCGCGGCAACAAAGTTGCAAAACGGCCCGTCGTGCAACAATGTGCAAATTTTCGAGACAACAAAGTTGCAAACCGAGAACGCGTTTGCAACAATGTGCAATTTTCGGGAGCGATTTCCAGCAACAAAGTTGCAAGCCCGATAACGCGTTTGCAACAATGTACAATTTTCGGGAGCGACTCGCAGCAACAAAGTTGCAAACGCGATCTCTCCTTTTGCAACTTTGTGTCGTCCGCGCGGTATTGCGAGTCAACCATAAGTCAGACACCGAAATTTGTTCAAGCCAGTGGTAGAAGTCAACCATATCTCGAACGCTGGAAAATTTTCGCTATTAGCAAGTAGTGCAAGTCACTTACTTCTCAGACGTTCGAAATTTTTCGGTGTTCCTAATAATTTCTAAATAATTTCTAAGTTCCAAATATTTAAATAATGAGTGTTTTGCATAAGGAAATGGATTTGGTGTGCAAGACTGTAAAATGCTGTAAAACAACAATGGTATATTGTAACCTTTTGTAAAATACATTTCGTACATTTATCTTACAATAAATGATTGATTATTTGATAAATAATTGTATTTCTTCAGTTTTCCTGATGTTGAAACTGTTTCCTTGATTCCCGTGGTGGCTTGAAAGTTCTATTTCTAATTTACACAAAAAGAACATTAATTTTCAAATGTTAAATAAAAGTTATAAACAATTTCTAACTAATCTACTGTATGCAATTGCTAATTGAACGCGAAATTAATAAATTAAGCTGTTTTAGTAAGTTAAATCATACAACAAATTTATTTATTACTTTCAATAATTGTAAACTAACATCTAAATTGTTATTTAACAAAAGGCACTAATTATTCTACAATTAAAGTACTTGGAAAGAAACCAGGAACTTCATTTTACTATCTACATTATTAGTAATGTTTAAAGCAATGAAATATTTATTATAATTATTAATCTTAAACTGTTTGCTACATGCAACTATGCTTTAATTTGCAATAACTATTATTAAAAGCGAAAAATTCAAAGAAATTCTATTTTAAAAATCAACTAACCTGATAATAGATACCTCATTTCTGACAATGCTCCGGATGATACACTCGATCTTTCCTCCTATCGTGATTGACTAACTATCAGCGAAGACGCAAGAGCAACTGCGATAGCCTTATTCTATGACCATCGTCTGATTAACAGAGAGACGTCGTAACTTCTCCCAAGTACATCTGCCACTTCTAGTGCGAAGTGTGAAGTTTGCTTCGCCGCACAATATCTTTATATGCGGATTTAACAAAATTGGATCTTTTACATCTGTCGACTTGGACGGTTGAATTGTATACAATTCCTAAACTCATCGCTCTATTGTCGCAGATAACAGATTTTCCTGATTTTTCACACGATCGGTATTTCAGAACGTGAGACATAAAGTCCCACAAGATGATAGACAGACGCATCGTCTAATGGTAGAACATATAACATCGGAAGATTTCATTTGTTATTTAATCTCGTTTATCGTTGCATAATACATCAGAGGTTTGGAACAAGGCAGAGATAACATCTAATTACAATTGTATAAAATTAAAATCGTCGTATTTACTAGTGACATACAGTAATTGTGAAGAAGAAAGGAAGCATGTACATATTATAATACATGTACATAAATAAATAGATATAATTTAACCTAATTTTGTGGTACATGGCAATCTATAGGTACATTATGTTTCCTGTTACAAGGGTGACATTAATGACGCTTTTATTTTTAACAAAACGTAACATACACATTAAAAAATAATCGTCTATATTATACCTTCTTTCCTAGGTCTACCTTCGTTTCTCTCTACGCAAAGATTCTTTAATACTTCACTCCTTTCCGTATGAAAGTTTGCTTTCACAATAAATACACAATCAAGCGGAAAAGATCTCGAAAGTCTTAACATCTTACAATTCACCGTACCTATATTTATAAGTTATTTACAAAACGACAACGTTCTAATCTTCGAAACGAGAATCATTTTGTACAGAAGAAATCTCCTAACGCAACAAATAGCGAAACAACTTACAAATTATACACGTCTATTTTTCTCTCTTCGATTTCCTTAACACCTGAGCAGTAGGTATCGTTTAACTTATCGCGAAACTACGACGTCTTTGGAATTACACGAGAATTCGTTTCCAAATGATGCGTTATAACACGCGTGTTACACGAGGCTCGCGGTTCCAATGTTAATTACGCAATTGTCGGCACCGCGCTCGTAGACCGTGAGATCGTGGTTCCTCGGCTGTTCCAACAGTGCAGCCAGTTGTTCGCCGCTGGGAAATGCGTTCGGAGAGGTTGGAAGGATCACGTCGCATTCCAATTGACCTAAAAAGTAAATAAACAAAAAAAAAAAAAAGAGGAAAAATATGAAAACTGGGAGTAGGAGGTAAAAATAGAAATGATGAATTTTGATATTTGAAGGGGACAGGAGGAATTGTACAATGAATATCAGCGGAGAACGGCAATATTTCTACCTGATAACGAAGGTGAAGCACCTTTACTGGAACCATACATGCGAGTGCTATATCCAGAATCATTGTGTGCGTCATGCAAAGGCGGCGTTGGGCTATAAACCGCATTACGGGACCTATATGGCATTCTGGCGATGCTGTCGTAATGCACGTGCTCTGATATCACTCCTTTTCCAGAGATTCCTCCGCTCAATGCTTCCGGCTGCTCGTCGTCATCTCCTTCGCTGCTCTCACTGTCATTACCTGTGTTTTAATGAACGCATTTTACTTCAATCTTTGGTCAATTTATCACGTTCGCTGCGGCAGCTTCTTTCAAGGACTCTTAATAAATACTTCATTCTTAGTTTACCCTGAAAAGGCTCGATCAGTGCTTATTACGGTGAAAATGGTGGAACAGTGACGGAAGTACTATTACAATTAGCAGATAGCGAAAGGTTCAATGAAAAACGAACAGCACAGGACGAAGGTTTTTTTAGGAATTTTTAGAAATGCTGCAGTAAAATATTCACTGTTAACAGGAATAATTCTTTAAAATCACTCACTATAGGAATATACCTAAGTGTAAGATTATTTATACCTTCGCCACGCCAGCTGTTTCCTACGCCACCTTGAGGTTGGACCCTTTGATTCTGTGAGCACTGACTGTGCTCTGGACTCGTGGGTTCGCTGCTTCCTGAACGCGGACCCCGCCAGCCGTTATGCATGCCAGGTACTTGTTGAAATCGCTTGATCATCTCGTGAACACTGCGTCGCCCTGAAGATCTCCAGTCGTTCGAGGTGTCCTCGTTCTTCCTCGTTACGCTACTTTCGTCCTGGCACGAGTTTATCCCGTGATCGCGAGACGACGGATCCTGTTGAACATTTGGATCGAAGTTCTCCTTAATTCAAAGCAAAATCCCAAGTAACGGAAATTAAAAGAAAAAAGAAATTAAGTTTTTTTCTATTCGTACTAAAGAAAAATAACGATAAGAAATCTTCGTTCCACATGTTTGATGTTTCTTAAGCTGCTTAATATTCATTTTCAATATTAAATTCATCATCTGTTTCGACTCAATAAAATTTCTATCTTCAGCGGTACAATTAAAAAAGAATCGAAACACTTTAGAATACTTCATAAGCTACAGTACGAAACATAAAACCATGCTCTATCCTGTTCAATAAAATCCTCACCTTCACCGTATCATTAACCCTCCTCCTCTAAATCACATTGTAACTTCCATCCTCAACTCTATAATCCAAAAACAAAGAAAAAAGAAGGACAGAGGTAGAGAAAAACGAAGGTAGATAAAATAATTAACCTCGTCTCTAATTCCACGCCATTAAAACCAACAGAGAACCAACAGACAGACAGACAGACCTATCAGCGATGAAAAGAGAAAGAACGATCCGATCTACAGGTCGTAAAACGCGACTCTCTTCTCCCTATGGCCGTGCAGTACCTTTGCGCGGCGGCGCGCAGGGTGTCATTAGGGTCTCGCAGCTTAATCAACACCTCTCTCGTACCCGCTTAGCGTAACTAACAAAAGAACCCCGATTACACACTCACGCGCTGCTGATGGACCTGTTGCCTCGACCCGATCGACGGCGAAGAAGCGGCCCCTAGCGGCGAGCTGCGATCCTGCTTGATCACTCCGTCGAACGTCTCGTTCAATCTGGCAGGCACGTCGAGCACCCTAAGCGTTGACCTCGAGACACCAGAACCGGACGGTAGGTCCCTCATCGACTTGCTTAGCCGTGGTATAGCTGGTATATCAAGATCGTCCAGGCTGCCTCGATGAATCGGTGTCTCGCCTGGTATCTCGAAGCTTCTGTCGTGAGGTCTGTCGTCCAAAAGATCCTCCAACGATCTGGCACGAGCAGGTGGGAACGATTGTTCGTTGGTGAACGACGCTTTATTAGCTGGTCTCTCGCTGTGCCTTCCACGTCCACCTCTCGATAAACGTTGCTGAAGATGTACATGTCTTTCGTCGCACCTGGACCTCTCAGCAGCCACGCATCTCGTCAATTCTGAAATCTGTCCCCTGGTTCTCCTCTCTAGATTAGCCACCTTCAAATCTAGTCTCTCGTGAGCTTGATCTATATGAGCCTTCAGCTCTGCTTTGTCCCTCTCCAGCTTAGCCTCCATGTGCCTGAAGAACGGAGCACAGTAACAGGTGTATCCTACTCCCACCGGTCCCTTTCTGATGTTCCCGGCCAAGTCCAGGTAGTACTGCTCTCCGCGACCCAAAGGATCCGGTGGTAGGGAGTCCAAACGCGGCTGTGGAAACGCTTCCGGATCGGGATAGTAGTGGCAACCGTACGGGGACCACTGTCTACCCATCACGGCCTTCTCGAAGTGGACCTTGTTCTGCTTACCGGACGATTTGTGCTTCTTTTTCTCCTTCTTCGTGCAACTGTCCCTACTGCCGCTGGTCCCACTACCGGTCTTCTCTCTCTTCTTCTCGCTCTTACCGACCACGTTGCTGCTGCCACTGTTCTTCCCGTCGACCTTGTCCGCAACCGGCGCAACCGCCGCCGCCTCCTCCTCGCGGCTCTTACTACGCGTTCTGCTCTTGCTTCGCGCTTTACCGATTATCTCCAATATCTCCGTCAGGTTCTTGCGCCTCGCGATGTCCTTCGCCGTTTCCCCCTGTTTGTTCCTCAGGCTACGGTCGCAGCCAGCCTCCAGCAGGATCCTCGTCAGCTTCCGACGTCCCATCGCTGCTGCGATGTGCAACGCCGTGTCGCCGTTCTACGTTTCAAAAAGATCGTCGGTCAGTCGTGCTACTCGTGTTTCTCACTCGAGGTTAGGTTATAACCGTTTTTGGTTTCGATGCTTTTGCTCGGATGTACACTTTTCTCAGATACCGCGAACCTTTTACGATCGGTGCGAGGAGATATCGGGATGAACGGTGGAACGGGAGTTCGGCTCGTTTCTTTTTTTCTTTCTTTCGTTCGTTTAGGTCTCGAGGATAGATTCTGGTTAAAGGGATTAGAGAGTACGAGGTGGGTATCGAGACTGGGTGGTATTCGTATGAATATTTAATGGTGGAAACTTGTATTTGACGCGTTTAATGTCACCGGTGAAGTTTTACGTTCACGCTTATAAGTATTTATGTATTCGTTTATTTAGAATGTTGTCTACTTCTGGTGATCTTATTTTAGGAATTTCATGGGAACCAGTTAAAATGAGCTATTCGTAACTGTACAGTTGATTGCTTAAACAGTTACATATATATATCTTCGTATTGAAACACGTTAGAATAAATGACACTGAACGCTGTTTCATTTTTTCCCGTTGTTAGTAAGAAAATAAAAAGTTCATACTTCCAATCTGGTCTCACCTTATTCTGATCCGATACCCGACACAGCGCGGAGATCAAAATCCTCGTCACTCCGGCGTGTCCGTACCTGGCAGACGTATGCAATGGCGTATCTCCATACTGAATTAAAAAGAAAACCATTAAATCATTCTTCTTCAACAATACACCTATACTAAACACCTCTTCAATCATTTCACACAATCCCCAGAGTCCAACAAGATCGAACGAGGCGGAATAACAGCGTATCGACTGGACCAATTATATTTATAACCCTTTCGCTGCGGCAAACTTCACTATGTAACTTGCGTGGCAGATTCATACGTTTCACAAAAGTCTCAAAATTACCTTTTTTAAAATTTCTTTTATCCAATTAACGTGGAAGAGTGCAGAGTATCGAATCAATGCTTAAATTAACACAGAAGTGTGCCAAGAGGCTTCAAAATCACGATACGAAGAAACTTTCAAAGCGCCTATAGGCGCCGATAGCAGTGAAAGGGTTAAAGGCCCGTTAAATAGCGCTAAAAAGCTTCGCGAAGCCCAGCAGAAGGAGGCGGAGCGTAGAAATAATGAAACAAAGAGGAAGAAATAGTCGTGCTGTTACTCACGTTGTTTTGAAGGTCGGGATTGCAGCCCGCCAACAGGATCTCGCGGCAGCTTTGGTTATGGCCGTTTTGGCAGGCGAGGTGGAGCGGTGCGAATCCGGCGAGATTCCTCGTGTGCAGGGGTGCACGTTGTGTCCCGAGGGCCTTCGCCAGGGCGGCCACTGTACGGCTGTATCCACGCCAGGACGCCTCGTGGAGAGCTGAATTTCCATGCTGAAACACGCGCCGACCGATTGATGGTAGGAACGACTTTGAACGCAGACCGGGGATGATATCGATCGATCAAAGCTCTCGTGGCTTGTCAGTCTCGATCGACAGGGGGAATACCGCCGCCGGTTTCAGAGAAAAAGAAGAAGAAAAGAAGAGAGGATACTCGCTGTCTCTTTCTATCGTACACCGTGCGGCGTGGAGCAGGCCTCTACGACGGATCAGATACGAAATCGGGCAAAACGACGACGGATCGTTAATCACCCGTTTTCTCTATTCCCTGGTTGAATCGTCGACCTCGTCTGTAATCGTGGCTGTCCGCCGATCGATCGGTAATGACGATTAATTGATTTATTTCGACGAGCCAAGATGGTGAAAACGATGGAGTACCGAATTTAGGGTAGTACTGAATGGGTGATTCGTGATTCAGTTTTTTCTGCTGTTTCCACAGTGGTTTTAACTGGGGGTGACGTGGTAATTTGTGTAAAGAGAATTTCACAGGAGTTGTTAAATTGTAATTGGTCTATAATTTTTACGTGTAATTGTACTTCACTCGTATTTATGACTTTTACGTCGATCGAACTATTATTATTTCCCTTATAAAATCACGGTGGATCGTATTTTACAGCGTCGCCATTTCCCGCCACTTCATCTCGTATTCCACGCGATAAAACTATATTTGCAGCCTGGTAAACATGTCAATCCGCGGGGTTAGAGCGTGTACCAAACACGTAAATGTCCAGAAGGTAAGACCGGCTAAATGGAGACGTGAAACTGTTCGAACTATGGCTCGGGGAACCCAGTCAAGCTTATCGTGGGCGGTTCCCTTCAGGGTGGGTAATGTCGCGCACTACATCACAAAATGTCTATTCAATTTAGATCAGTCCGGTGCGTGCGCTGTTTCGTTCGCCATTCGTCCGGATAAACGTCGTCGATATGCCGTTTTGTAGATTCGTGTCTCGAAACGATCCCATTCTTATTGCATTTTTCCACTTTCTCTGGGATTACGACGTTGCTACATTCTGTACTTTTATAAGTGGAACATTTTGCAACAATTTAAATACTCGTTGCTTTTACCGTTCGAACTTAGGTACAGTGGAATGTTCAGGAATTTGAGTGCGTTATACTTAATAATGTTGCAATTGGAAATTGTCTAATATTTCTAATCCAAAGCGTAGAAATTTCCCAGTGAACCATTTTAAACGATTTCCTGAAAATCAATGAACGCTCGACGAAAAAGATGGATAATCACGGTGTCAAAACTTCAATGGGAAACAACTCGTGTGGTGCACACACCTCTCTCGGTATTCCAGGCCCTCGATTTTCTTTCTTTGCACGGGCAATTTGCCGCCGGTGTCCCGCGGCGAGAGACCCAGCCCACGTATTGGTTTCATGCGGTGACGTCGATGATCCCTGCGCCGCCATATTACCGTTTCCGCGGAGAGAAAGAAATTTCCACGCGTCTCGAAGATGAATTTCACGCCGTTGCGGTGGTACAACATACGCTCGAGAACGATCGTTTCTCGTGTTTGTTCGTACCTCGACAGTTTATCCCGTGCGAGACTCGGGCAAAACGACAAATATTGAACTGTTCGACTCAAGAGAGACTCTTGGGCAGAAAATTAAAGAGGACGAGATATTATTGTCATAACTATAACGTAGGGTTGTTTTAAGAATGATCAAAGTTTTCTTACCGTAATTCATAATTTTTGATTACACTGTCAGAGTTAAGATTAGACTATACTTTGTTTAATAACGTTTGATTACTAAAATTCTGGTTAGAAGAAACGCAGGAGATTCTAGGCAATCTTCCTAACAAGATAAATCTTGGTTCGGAATGATCAAAGATACGAAAATTAAAGAAGAACTTCGCAAATAAGTCGAAAGGAAGTGATTGAAAAGAAATGTAACAATTATGTACGACAAAATGTACGAATAATTATATCAATAAATATGTTAAAACAATAATTACAATTTTCTGTTGCAATACTTACTCCCTTGAATCATCTTCACTACGCAACGAATACTAACATGCACACTTGACCCAACCTAACGAATGTCAGTACATAAATCAAAGGTTTCTGCACAAGTTAACCCTACGCAGTTATTAATTGCGTACAAAGTTCAATGGATAAATGTTCCCAAGAGTTTCACAAAACCAAAAGGAAAAAAAAAAGAACTCTCTCTCCCATTCCCAATCGCTAAAGGTAATTTCACATCGTTTTAAAAAAAAAACACCATTACATCGGAGACAAGCAGCAAAACGACTATCGCAAGAAACGACAGAAACACGAAGCAGAGACGCGGTAGCAGTGGCTGTCAATAAAACACCGCCATTAAAAAGCCCAACTGGTGGAACAGCAAAAAGTCACAGGTAACCCTACCGCTAATTCTAGCCACGACCAGCCAAGCAGTTCGTTAAGGCCATCAGGTTCTAAATCACATGGAAAGACGGGCATACACACACGGAGAATGTCTCTGTTCAACTACTGCGGCGGCAGGCGTACTTGCACAGCTTCCTCATTCATACCATGCACAATCGTATTCAATCGTATTCAGTCAACGATACACTCCAAGTATCTCTAAATGAATTTTCCCCCGTTTCATCTAAACGTTACGCGAGCTACGCGATAATAACAGCCTGCGTGTTGGTTAAAGTTAGCTGTATAAGCTCTCCCGCGTGTATGATTTATTATATATTTATTCAGGCTGTTGAACCCTCCCCCTCGTATGCAACGCCGGTCTGTGTTCTTCTTGCTTTCACTGTTCTAGGCCTTCGTTGACCCTGAAAGGCGCGATCACGACGCGCCTCTTCGTCGGCCAAAGCCAACGTCGATACCTATATACACGTGGACAACGACGACGACGACGACGACGACGACGAGTCAGGATGGGTCAAGCGTGGCCTTTCGAGGCGACTGCTCTCCACGGGGTCACCACGATGCTATCGCTCAACCGGAGGAAGAACGTTGTTCGTCGAAGCGCGTGGACGTACGTGCACGCTCTTCTCTCAGACCTCCGGAGGACTCGGAAGTCCCCGGCGAGAACGGCCATGCATCATCCGATTTTTCCAATGGCGATTGTTCCTCGTGTATTGTCCCCTGATGTTCGTGTGAGCAGTTCCTTTTCTTTTCTTCGGGATGGAAGGTTGATTAATTCGAGATAGGTTAACCGTCTCAGTGCTATCGGCGGCTATAGGCGCTTTGAAAATTTCCTCGCACTGTGCTAGCTATTCGAGCCTTTTGGCACACTTCTATATTAGTTTAATCCTTAATTTCACGTTAATATAATAAAAGAAATTTTAAAACGATACGGCCAGAAAAAAAGAAATTTTGCAGCCGTTGTGAAAAATTTGCCGCAGCGAAAGGGTTAACAAGTCTTTTTGCTTTTTAACGAAAGTTAAATGTGGAAAGATTGTGGTGGAATACTTAATCAGAGATTGTTTAAAAATTTTTATCACGTCAGATTTTTCAGATCGAATTATCGAGTAATTAATGTTATAAAAATAACAGTGCGCACAAAAAGAAAATAAACGTCAGCAGTTGGTATCTGGATTAACTTGTAAAGGGAGAGGATTTAAGGTAAACTCGCCATTGACAGGTCTGCAACAGCCAGTTACAACAGCTCCAAGTGCATAACGTATTGTCATGGTGACTGCTCGAACATCGAGAGCGAGATCGTGTCGGAATGTAAGCCGTAAGAATTTCCTGTACAGTTCGCGATGATTATCGAGAAGCGTGTTCACGCTGGCATGGGCAGGGACAATTTCGTGAACAAATTACATAATAACATATCCCCCTCTTCTTACATCCTTCTTCGAACTATCCTTCCAATCAAAATGATTCCTCCATTTAAGCAAAATTCCTCTGATGAATATTTAAAGAAAACTATCTCTTCAATCGTTCCAATATAAACATAATCCTTCGTCTTGATTAGAAAATATGCAACATTTTTCATATAACGAATGTGATAGCAGAATGTCAAAACACTTTTATTTAAAAAAATAAAGCAGACGTTAAAGAATTCGAAGTTTATGTTACCAATCCAGTGTTCAATTAAACATTATCCACTGTTCAGCGTAATAGAGTTCAGTGTAATCACTATCGAGGAGGCCAATTGGAAAATATTATTTTTCAAAAATAATGAACGAGATCGATAGATTACATTATACAACTCCTTTCTCTACTAAAAGTGTCTTACTTCAGTTTAACCTTAGTATCTCGATATTCTATCGCCGCGTCCAGTATTCGAAAAGTATCAACATCCATTAGCTGGCTCGCATCGTCAACAGTTCCAAGCCGTATCCTATTACCTGCTCGTCAGTTCCTATGTTCCCTAGAACATTACACCTTTATTCCGTCAGGACCATCCATCTATCGGGACACGTTATGCGTAACAACCGGTGAACTTCATCAAAATCTCTGATCGACTCTCGCTGCAGGCTTCCCCGGCGAACGATTAAGAAACTTCAAGAAGACTAATCGCCAAAGTGAGGTCCTCAAGAACTGAGAGCGTGCCTGCCTGGAAAACCCTTAACAATCGCCACGAGGCTTTCAGTGCCATCAGCTAAAGGAGTTTCGAGCCTGGGTCTCATTTCCTGCTCGTTAGGTCGCGGCTTTCATGCTGGTACATTATGCCACCGATCAGGCGTCGTCGGTTTCATCGATCTAGCGGGACGTGCCGCGTTTACAGACGAGAGGATTTCATCGAAACGACGAATTTCATGCTATAATCCATCAACTATCGATCATCCGCGTGTATTTATGTATTTACGCGTCGATAAAAAAAACCAACGCGAAGGAAAATTGTGACATGTTCACCGATGTTATCAATTTGAGGAATTTCTTTTACAATTACAAGATGGTTGTTTAGAGTTTTGTTTTAGAGAGATCAATCACTGTTACGAGCGTAAAAAGTGAGAGTGTTTATTGGGAAAAAATGTGGTTTGAACAAATTGCCGCGAGGTTTCGCGTTGAATTTATATACGCTTGAATGAGAGTCGAAGA